GCTGGATGGGGCTTTACACTTTATTTCCCCCTTTACTCCAGATACAGAAAAAAAAAGCAATAATGTGGAAACAATAGTTTTACCCACTTTCCTGTAGCTCTTGACCCTTTGTGCCCTAATCATCTATGTAAAGATTGTCAAAAATAAAGGTGAAAAACAAATAATAATAACAATAATAATAATTTTAAAAACAGAAGAGGAGCAACTAGGACCAAAAATGACATTTATATGGAACAAAAGTGTCATAGGCAGCACTTGAACCTATTTTGCCACAAGGCCAACCCTCAAACATCCTGTTTTATTTCCAATAACAAATGTTTGAAAACAAATTCCAGTGTACACCAATTTGGGATAACCTACAATATTATCCATCATCCCTTAAATAATGATAAAGGATGAGAAAGTCTTTAAATGTATTCATATGGGAAGATACTCAACATATATTGTTAAGCAAAATAAAAAAATAGGCAAAATGACAAGATGGTGCTACCATATTGTAATTAATTTCATAAAAATTGAGAGGTATCGTACACAAACTTATTTTTACTGATACAATAATATTTACAATTTTATGCAAGTATAATAAATGTATAGGAAGTACACTTTAGAGTGTAACCACCATGAATTTTCACAAACTGAACACAACCAGGCAATTAGCAGCAGGAGCCTAGAACCTCAATTAAGAAGCAGAACACTTTCAACCGAGAAACCTCTCCTAATTTTTTTCTAGTCACCACTTCTCCCCTACAAAAGCCACTATCCTAATTTCTAAAAACCTATTTTTGAACTGTATGTAAATGAACTCTCGAAGAGTGTACAATCTTCTATATTTCAGTTTTTGTATCCACCATATTTGTGTGATTTGTTAATATTCTTGCACATGGCTAATCTCCTTGCCATTTGATGTTCCATTGCATAAATCTGCCGCAATTATTTTACTCATTGTATTATTTGTAAGCACTTGAGTGACTTCTCCTTTGAGACTCTTAAAGTAGCTACGCTAAAACATGTGCATGTCTGTGTTCACATACTTAATTGAGGAACTTTTGGTTCACAGTCTGTGTATCTGCCATTTTAACAGATACTGTCACAGTTTGCAAAATCCGTTGGACCCTTTGACACTTTCCATCAGCAGTGTATGTGAGGGCTGCATTTGCTCCAAATTCCCGTTTTTATTTGGAATCTTCTGACAGTAATATTTGGATTATAATGTTGCCTAGGATTTATCAGCAGCACGCTCTAACCAACTGAGCTAACCGGCCACGCTTGTTGCCTTGGATTTAATTTAATCTCTCCTTCACCTTTTCCAAATCCTCTTTTGTAAATTATGTAAGATATCTGCTTCATTTTCTACTGGATTAGAAAGACTAGAGACATTCTGCTTTAATATTTGCATATAAGAAATACTTGTTTGTCAAGAAATCATAACAATTGTCCTTGAATTTTTAAAACAATGCTAATTTTATCACAAATTTCATTAGATCTGCTAAGCAGCTATCATTATAATTTCTCAAATACAATTAGCTATATTAGGATTATTAAAATGAGGTACTATAACTACTGTTAATTAAACTTTTTTCTCTTGAAGCCTAACTTCTTCCTGCTTCAACGAGAACCAGTTTCTCTCTAATTCCACCACAATCACTTTTCCCAGGGTTTTCCTTCACATTTTCCTGGCCTTGTTTTCTGTATCCATTATCTTTCTCTTTTTAGCTTACTCACATGTTTTGTTGAAGCTCATGCTCTAGTAGCATTCTCAAAAATTTTAAAAGGGCGAACTTAGCAGTAAGTGTAGTGATTAAGACACCTGTATCGCACAAGTGCTGGGTTAGATGTTCAGCAGCAGCTCCTGATTCTAGCCTTCTGCTAATTCAGCCCCTGGGACTTGGTGACTCTAACAGTGGGGTCCCTGCCACCTCTAAGGAAGACCTGGAGAGAATCCCAGGCTCCTGCTTAAGCTGCAGAGCCAGCAGCAAGTACCCAGGAAGTGAACTAGCAGGGGAGTGTGTTTACTCCATTATTTCTTGCCTCTCAAAGTTAAAAAATAAAATAAAGCAAAAGAATTGAAAGTCAGTGTTTGCATCTATGCAACTGTATTTGTAAAAATGCTTCTAGTTTGTCTTTGTACATGATGGATGGTTTGATGGACTATGGCATTCTAGTTTGGAAATTACTGTCCTTCAGATCCATGAAGATACTTCCCTTCATTGTGTTTTACAACCGGAGTTTTAATGTTAAGAAATACAGTTCCAAATCACTGCTTTTCCTCTCCCCCAGTCCTTCATGCCCTTCTTTTTCAGCTAGGTGCTGCTAAAGGTTCCCCACTAGGGAGCTGGAAGATGGGCCATTTATGCCACTAATCAAGTGTTAATAGAAGAATATAGCACCAAAATTCAGAACATGCCCATACAGCAAGCTTCAGGAAATGGCTCGAGGATAGTCAAAGATTTGGGAACTTATTATGAAAGGAAATATAGACTCCAGATGTGGGCCCTGAAACCAGGCTCAAAAAAGCTTTTAGGTGGCCCTCAGCGTGGTAGCCTAGCAGCTAACGTCCTTGCCTTTCACACGCCGGGATACCATATGGGCACCAGTTCATGTCCTGGAGGCCCTGCTTTCCATCCAGCTCCCTGTTTGTGGCCTGGAAAAGTAATAAAGAACAGACCAAAGCCCTGGGACCCTGCACCTACTTGGAATACCTGGAAGAAGCTCCTGGCCCCTGCTTTCGGATGGGCTCTGCTCCCGCTATTGTGGTCACTTGGAGAGTGAATCATCAGATGGAAAATCTTCCTCTCTGTCTCCCCTCCTCCCTATATATCTGACTTTCCAATAAAAATAGATAAATCTTTTAAAAATGAAACGTTTTTAAGGACACAGAAATAATGAATAACCCATACTGTATCCAAATGAGACTGTTCCAAAAGACAGAATGCAGATGAAGATTTCCAACATCCCCACTTAAGTTATCTGTGTACTCATCACTGCTTTCAAAAACCTACAATGAACATGGGTAAGAACTAACTAGATTGTCAAAGAAAGTTATAAGGGGCCAGAGTTGCGACAGTGTAGATGAAGTTACCACCTGCAACAAATGTACCCCTTTTGGGTGTCTCTTTGAGTTCCTGATGCTCCACTTCCAGTCCAGTCCCTTGCTGATGGCCTGAGAAAAAAACAGTGGAAGATATAGCCCAAGTGTTTGGGTCCCCTTATCAGTGAGAAAGATCTGGTTGAAGCTCCAGGCTTCCACCTAACTCAACTATAAAACAAACAAAAACATCCAACGCTATTGTAATTTCCATCCTTTCTTCTTATTCCATCCATCTGAACACTTTTTAAATGGCGTTTTAGTGCTTTCACTTTTTTCTGACATGTTTTAACGCAGACTGTTTAGTAATTGAGTCCTTTCAATATAGTCCTTTGTAGTGCTGGCCCTAGAAAACTGCTAGAATGTTCTCTGCATTCTTAGTGATTCTTCTTTTAATGATGTGCTTTAACATAGGTCTTCTTTAAGTTGGAGTCCTTTCATTGTGGACACGTGTGTCCTTCACTCCTGGAAAAGCCTTTTAAAGGATCAGTTTGACCGTTGTCTGCCTTTATGTTATTTTTGTTTTCCTTCTGTAACTTTTAGTTTTTTGATTGACATTTCAAGCACTTTCTTTTTGAGCATAAAACTTATCAAGCAATAAAGCAGACTGTCAACTCACATCTTTATTTTTTCCACATTCTAAAGTTTTTTTGTTGTTGTTGTTAGATGACGTTTATATATTCGATCAGGGTGGGAAGGATCTAGAGTTGGGGAGGAGCGGGTGTGATCATTGTTTCCAAGCTTTCTATTTCTTCTTCCCATTTCGGGGAGGGGGGGTGTCAACTCACATCTTTAAAGCTGAGTATCTTCTCCTAAACTATCCAAAATCTTAAACACATTATCCGATGAGAACTTCCCCTATTGTAAAATGTAACATTGCTGCTGCCATTCCAGGTACTGCAGAAATACAGGTCACTAGTTCTCAGTGGGACAAAATCCTCTGCTCAAATTAGAGCTTTCTTACTACTTTTGTTGGAATTGATTAAAGCCCCGCATTACTGGTGTATGTACACTCAGCCTGTTGAATAATCATCTAAGCAGATAGGTTTCTGTTCAGGGTAGAAAGAGGGGAAAGATGTTGGCATTGAACACTGATGGCTTTCCTCTGAGAACGTCTCAATAGCACCTGCAGTCAGAGAGATGGATTCTCTGTACTTTTGGATCCCTATACATATTCAGAGAAGTAAGAAAGTAGAGGAACGAAAACAGATCCCTGGTCTGGTAACGTGTAGAAGCTTTTAAACACCTGCACTTACTCCGCCATAAAAGTTCATCATCCACTCCACACTCCCAACCGAAGTGGCTGGAAGCGAGGAAGCACTGATATGGCAGTAGCCAGGTGGACTCACAGCCCCCACAAAGCGTGGAGACCTGGAAGTCAACCACGCCCCTGCCACCCCCTCCAAAGCACTTCCCCGCGCAGGCGCAGAGTCGGGGGCACGTCTCCCCTGCTGCCAAATCCCACCCCGCCTGGCCTGCCTCCTCTGGGGTCCGACCGCTCCTGGAAGGCGCGCGGCCCACAGGAGAACCCTCCTGGGTGTTAGGGCCAGCTGCCCAAAGCCACACCGGGTCAGGAGCCCGGCTGAGAGGGACTTTCCCAAGAGGAAAACTTTTCCCAAAAAGGGAGGGGAAAGGAGGCAGGGGAGCGAAGACAAAAAGCGCTGCCCGGGGAGTGCGTTTCCACAGCCCCTGAGGTGTGCGTCGCGGGGCGCGGCGACTGGACCCCCGGCCCGGGAAGGCAGGTGCCCCCAGCCGGCCTCCCCGCTGCCCTCAGCGCCTCCCCTGACGTCGCTGGACTAGTTGCCGAGGGAGGAGCTCCGACGGCCGGGGCCGGGGCGGCGGCGGCGGCGGCGGCGCGGGAGGCCTAGAGGAAGCTCCTCCTCGGAGCGACGCGGCGCCGCCGACTGGACCCACTCTCCGGAGGAGCAGAGGCCGCCGCTGCCGCTGCCGCTGCTGCTGCTGGAGAGGAGCGGCGTCTGACCTCGGCCGCCCGGGGAATGGCCGGGCTGGACACCTAGCGTCCGCGGCGAGGGAAGGGCCCCGCCGGCTGCCCGCCTTCAGCGTTGGATCTCGCTGCGAGCCGCGGGCACACACCCGAAACCGGCCAACGGCCCCGAGCGCCCGTGCCTCCCCACACCATGAACGAGGACGCCATCTGCAGCGCCCTGCCCACCATTCCCTACCACAAGCTGGCCGACTTGCGCTACCTGAGCCGCGGCGCCTCTGGCACGGTGTCGTCGGCCCGTCACGCGGACTGGCGCGTCCAGGTGGCCGTGAAGCACCTGCACATCCACACCCCGCTGCTCGACAGGTAGGGCACCAGCGCCGTCCCATCCGACGCGGAGCCAGAGGATTTTTGATGCCGAAGGACAAGGACCTCTTGGATTCGGTCCGACTCCTCATCACCTCTGCGCAGTCTTGCCGGGAAGAACCGGCCGCGTTCCCAGAGCAAACACGATTCTTCCACTAGTGTTTCTTTCTCCTGCTTTCTCTCCTTGGCTCTTACTCTCCCAGGCGTCTGCTGTCCATATTCCAGAAGTCAACATTTTCTGTGAATTATAGTGGGTGTGAGTTTTGTTTTTATCTTTCTACCTGAAGTAGGGTTGTGGAGCTGGCTGGTAGATAACTCTCATCCTTCTACAGGGGGTGGGGAAGTTGGACATTTGCGAAGTACTCTCTGAATTGAAGCGTGCTGTAAGTGTAAAACACACACTGAAGTTTTACACGCTTCGAGAAAAAAACTTTATTATTCATATCTTAATCATTTTGCATGCTGAAATGATATTATTTCGACATGCTGGGCTAAATATAAGGTACTGTTAAATCATTTCACGGGTTTCTTTTTACCTGTTTTATAATGAGACTACTAGAAACATGTAAAGTATGTTTGCTTCACATCGTATTTTCATTTGTGCTGCAATATAGTTCGCAATACTCTGGTTTTGGTTTTTGCTGTTATGGTTTTGTTTGTGGTTTGTTAGCGGTAATGAAAGTTTAACTATCAAACTCCACTGAGCAGCTCAGTTCCTTCCTCTGTTGTAGGAATGACTCCCCCCAGAGGAAATGTGTGTTATTTTTGCTAACCATTCATTGAATTAGAAGACCGGTAACAATGGCCAAAACTTGTGAAACATTTTTAGTGTAACGTTCAGGTTTTAAAGGAAAATTGGCATTATTTGCTGTTTTGTTTTCAGAAAAACACTGCCATCATCTGCTGTACACCTGTGACTGATGTATCAGTGGGTCCAATTACTAGTCGATGTATTTTCTTCAAGGATATAGCTAGGCCTTGTGTTTACTTATGGAGCTAACACCCTTAGGTGCAACATTCTCCTCTGCCCCATCTCTGATGACAGCATACATCCACTGCTACATTTGGTACTATCTGTTATCACATAATTTCCAGCTTCAGCCCTGCCAAACTGTTGGACTTTGGTCTGTCTTTGCTGTCTCTCACAGTTAGTCTGCCGTGAGCCAGATCTCCAGGGAGATTTGGGACTTCTCTAGAGATGGCTTCCACTTTTTGTATACAATGTTCAGTAGTATACAGGGTGCGCTGTTTACCCTGGATCTTATGGAGCAAATGCCAATCAATTCTCATTTGCAGTTTTCATAGTCTAAACTGGGTAGGAAAGGATCCTCAAAGAAGCCTTACAACCACTGAAACATGGCATTACCAAATCTCATTTTTTCCCCATTCATTTGTAGGCTAAAGTGGTTACATTAGCAGGACTTAGGCAATGTGGGTATAGGGCTGGCTATGCACTATCTCACAGTGTGCCTGAGCACGTCCTTCCTGGGCTGTTGTGGACAATGTTTGCATTGTGTGTTGAGATCACCTAAGAGAAAAATGAGTTCATGTGATGTGTGCCCTGATTTTCATGGTTGGTGAGTCACCATTCTTAACTCCCCAGAGAGTGGATCTCCCCTTTTCTCTTACGAGATTTGCTATTCATATGCTGGCCCTGTGGCTCAACAGGCTAAACCTGTGCCGGCCAGTACTGGCATACTGTGTAGGTGCCAGTTCTAGTCCCGCTTGCACCATTTACAATTCAGCTCCTTGTTTATGACTGGGAAAGCAGTGGAGGATGGCGCAAATCCTTGGGCCTCTGTACCCATGTGGGAGACCCAGAAGAAGCTCCTGACTTCTGACTTTGGATCAGCTCAGCTTAGGAAGTATCCCGCATTTGAACCAGCTGATAGAGGATCATTTTTTCTCCTTCCTCTCTCTGCAAATGCTTTTCAAATAAAACGAATAAATACACTACAGATGATATTAGCTTTATTTCATACTTTAATTTTGTTGTTGTTTTTGTCAAATCCTATCTTTAAAATCTATTGGCTTGGCACCAGCACTGTAGCATACCAGGCTAAGTTGCAGTCTGTAGCAGCAGCAGCCCAGATTGGTATTCTTTCGTGTCCTGCCTGCTCCACTTCCCACCCAGCTCTGACTTTACATTTTTTTTTAAGATTTATTTATTTTATTGGAAAGTCAGATTTACAGAGAGGAGGAAACACACAAAGGAAGATCTTCCATCTGCTGATTCATTCCCCAGGCAGCCACAACGGCTGGAGCTGAGCTGATCCAATCCGAAGCCAAGAACCCGGAGCTTCTTCTGGGTCTCCTGCCTGGGTGCAAGGTCCTGACACTTTGGGCCATTTTGGACTGTTTTCCCAGGCCACAAGCAGAGAGCTGGATGGGAAGTGGGGCCACCGGGACACAAACTGATGTCGAATTAGGATCCCAGCAAGTGCAAGGTGAGGACTTTAGCTACAAGGCCACGGTGCCGGGGCCCCCAGTTCCCTCTTAATGGCCTAAGAAAGCATTGGAGAACGGCCCAAGCACCCATGAGCCCCTGCTCCCATGTGGAAGGCCCCTGCTCCCATGTGGAAGGCCCAGCTTAAGTTCTTGGCACCTTGCTTCAGCCTGACTCTATGCTGGCCATTGCAGCCATTTGGGGAGTGAACCCAATAAATGGAAGCCCTGTATTTGTCTCTCTCTATCCATAACTCTTTCAAATGAAATAAAAATAGGTTTTTTTAAAGATATCTGTTGCATCTATTTTTCCAATCTTGTTAGAACCTTAGAACTTTCCTACTTCTCTGATTAGAGAGAAGTTAGGGTTTAGTGTCCCATGATTGCAGTTCAAATGTGACCCAAATTCTGCTGCTTTTTTGTGTGGCCATTAGAAAGTATGCTTCTAGGGATTCATGTTTGGCTTAGTGGATGGATATAATCACCACCTGATATGGCAGCTTCCCAAATAGGTGCCAGTTTATGTCCTGGCTGATCCCCTCTTGGTCTAGCTTCCTGCTGATGGCCTGGAATAAACAACAGATGATGGCCTGAGTGTTAGGTCTGCTGTCACCCACGTGAAAGACCAGGATAAGGTTCATGGTTCCTGACTTTGGCCTGGCCCAGCACTGGCTGTTAAAGCCATTTGGGGGAATGAACCAGCAGATAGACTATCTCTCTATTTCTGTCTCTCTCTTTCTGTCTGTAACTCTTTCAAAATATGTAAATATTTTAAGAATTATTTTTCTGAACCTTAGTACTCTCCGATACCAAGCAAAGCTAATGATAGCTCTTGGAGGATTGGTCATAGGATAATAGTGCCTATAAAGTGCCTGACACATGATAAAGTCACAGGAGAAGGAAGAATGTGTCAGGCTGTTGGTGGGAGGAGGAAGCAGTACAGTAAGCATCACCGAGACTTCCACAGCATGGCTTCTAGACATTTTTCTCCCTGACAATCTGCAGGTTGACACTGTGCATCTTTCTGTTAGGGTGCCACACAAGAACTGTTTTGTGGGCCACTGTGGTCATTTCAAGAGTAAACCAGCATGTGGGAAGAAGGCTAGCACTCTCTCTGTGTCTACCTTGCAACTAGTTTCAAAGTACAGGCTGAAGTAGGGAAGTTGAACCCTTGAGTTTTGAAACATGTAATGTCCATTCAAACATACATATCCAAGATTTGACTGGGGGGTGGGGAGAGCTTGGTTTTAATTTTTTTGTCAGTTTTTAAAGCAAACGTCATATTCTGGTATTAGAATATCTGTTACTATATTCTTATTTCCACTACAGCATGAGTGGTTTAAGAGTCGACTAATTGTTGCTCACTTAATAGACATGCCCTGGAAATATTTCTGTTTCAGTTACTGCTACCAATACCCAATCATCCAGGGTGAAACCTGATGACATTTCCAATTCCCTTCCAATTTTGTTTATTCCCAGCGATCAATCAGTCACTATGGCCTGCATGTTCTATTCGGCAAGTACTTTTCTTTCCATTTCCACTGTTGGCTTTCTAATTTTAGACTCTCATTGCTTCATCTGAACCAGTACTAAAATTTGCTAACACATGACTTTCAGACTACCTCTTTTGGCTGATCCTGCATCTCTGCTGCCAGGTAAATCATGCTGAAATGGACTGTAACTGCTGCTGAAGTGCAGTACTATTGTAGCAGTATGGGGGGAAAAGAGTGGTTAGGGTGGAAAATGGCCAGGGAGGAAAGGGAGGTTGGGGGGAAGTCCCTATACCTATAACACTATACCATGGAAAATAACAATAGCAATAAAATATTATTTTACAGCTGTTATTCTGATGCTCAGAAATCTCCATTCACAGCTCAGTGATTACAAAATAGATTAATACTACCCTACTCTTGCTTAATTCTGAGAAATGTGGCCCAGCCTTATATTTTCCTTCACCCCTTTTACATACTCTGTTACATATCGTGCTCTATATTAGATAATTCACAATTTCACAAATATAGCCTTTACTTTAATGATACATGTCTATTGGACATCTACTGTGTTAGTGTGTGTTATGTGCTATTCCAAAGTCTGGGGCATGCTTAGCTAAAAATGAAAAGCCAAGTCCTCCTCTTAAGGTGGCTTCCCCCATTTTAGGTCTCCTCTTTGCCAATACTGACATTCTATCCATCGTTATGATACAGCTGGAATTCTCATGTTTTTCTGAAAACCACAGAAATCCCCCAGGCCATATAATATTCTATTTTCTCTGAACTGCCCATGGTTTCTTTCTTCCCCTCTCTTTTTTTTAAATGACATTTAGCACATTGTACCTTAGAGTATTATTTTTTTAAAAGGAATTCATATGCAATTTGGAAACAAGACTATATATTTTTTCAATTATCTGAGCACAGTTTTGATTCATTTTAAAATATGTGTTTTATGTATAAATAATTAAGTAAACCTAGGACTGAAGTTAAAGATCTGTGGTTAACATTTATTTGCTCCTAGTGGTCTTTTCATGCATTTCAATGTATAATATGTAGGCTTTATTGACCTTGATGCAGCTGTTGTCATCTAATCATTTAAAATATACAGTATCCAAGGTCAGCGCTTACATCCCATACAAGCACCAGTTCATGTCCTAGCTGCTGCATTTCCCATCCAGTTCCCTCCTTATAGCCTGGGAAAACAGTGGAGAATGGCCCAAGTCTATGAGTCCCCGCACCCATCTGGGAGACCTGGAGGGGGCTCCTGGCTCCTAGCTTTGGATCAGCTCAGTTCTGGCAGTTGTAGCCATTTGGGAAGTGAACCAGCAGATGGAATTTCTTTATCTTGTGTCTCTTCTTCTCCCTGCAAACCTACCTTTTCAGTCAAAATAATTAAATCTTTTTAAAAATTAAAAATAAAATGTACAATATTTACATCTTATATATTTGGAAAAATTTTACATGGCATATAATCACAGAATTTTAATTGATCCAGTAGATTTAGTTTATGTCTAACACCATCCTAACATGAATAGGCTTACTCTAATGCTGCGTTCTTTCCCTTCCCTAGGAAAAGTACGACAATAATAACCTCTGTATAGCACTTTTACCTGTCAGTGGTTTATAGAAGTTATTTTGGTCTCTAGGCAGACCTGAGGAATATATAGGGTAGGTACTATCTCTGTTGAATATGTTGAAACTAAAGGACAAAGGAGTTGCATTATTTGTATGAAGACATATAAACATTTTTTTTAGATGTAGGGTTGCTTTATTTATGGGCATGATAATTATATATTTTTCGTTACTTGAAATAATTATGCATTTTTTTCCGTAGTGAAAGAAATGATGTCTTAAGAGAAGCTGAAATTTTACACAAAGCTAGATTTAGTTATATTCTTCCAATTTTGGGAATTTGCAATGAGCCTGAATTTTTGGGAATAGTTACTGAATACATGCCAAATGGATCATTGAATGAACTGCTACATAGGGTGAGTACCGTCTATTTTAGTTGTTATAGTGACTGTTTGCATTACCCAACCATACTGTTGTTTGGTTAGGTATTCAGTCAGATTATTTAGGGGTGTATAGATGAATCAAAGTAAGAATAATGAAAAACAACTGCGTTGGTAAAAGTTATGTTTTTTGGCTTCTTTTATCTTGTTAAAACTGCTGTGGAGTCAGACGTAATTCTCAAGGGGCTAGGTTGCTTAGGTTTTTGTTACTAACATTTACACTGAATTCTAATATCCACATGCATATGCACAGGTAGGAATGGGAACAAGAAAAGATAAACTCTGTGTGATATATTATCTGTTGGTTGCACCGTATTTTATTTTATATGAATGACAATTTAGGATTCAGATGTTACTAATATAGGTTCAGTAAGTTTTTAATAAAGCAAATAAATAATCTGATTTATAGATAATGTTAGCTTTTGCAGTAATGGGCAGCAGTATGAGCAATTTTACTGTTTTTTAATTTTGAGTCTAAACAGTAAATAAATTCAAGGGTCCTCATTCTTAAAATACATGTACTGTTGCTATTTGCTTGACATTATATTATTAATATCAACTGCTATCTATTGTTTCTCCTGAGAAATCTTGTTAAAATGCTTGGCCCATTTTGTGAGGGTTAGTTTAGGTAAAACGGACACTCCCCAATTATAATACACCGTAGTATTCCATAAGTGACCAAGAGAAAGTGGTGCTACTGTCAGCCACTCATGGAGTAAACTTCCTCTTTGTTTCAGAATACATCGCATTCTATTCATGACTTGTGACCATCTGAAACAAAGATGGAGTGAAGTAACTCGTGTCGATCTGTAAGGTTTGTGTAACCACAACAATCAAGATGCAAATATTAATAAAGCAATCTTTTAAAAAATGAATATAATTAGAAATATTAATGTTTGCTTCCTACACCCCACTATGCACTCTGGGACTCAAAATTGGATCCCACTGGAAATTCCATACCTTTCTCCAGGAAACGTTAACTCCTAGAAGAAATCATACAGAGTGAGCATTCTTCCAACCTTGTGTCTCTGATTAGAATTCTACCCGTATCCTCTCTGTAAAGTTACACTGCAGAGAATCCTGGGTCCTCCACTAAATAGCATAGTTTTCAGGGAAAAAAATTAGTTACCTTCTTGCAAATTAAAAGATTCAGTTATTCTAGGGGTCAGGGTTTCTATATATATATATAGATATATATATATCAAATAAAGAAATGTTTCATATTAGTGTTTTGTGTTTCTCTTGGCTTCCTGTATTATAGTATTTAGGGTAGGATTTTTCTTGAGATACCCTCTCCAACCTCACAAAAGATCACTGAAAAAAGCCATGTTGTCCATAGCACAGTATTCTGAGCCACTGCCTTGGACAGGTGGGTCACTGAGCTTTCCTCAGACCTGTTTGAAAAACAGTTTTAAATAGCATGCTTTTACACAGAATTTAGAAAATGTATACAGGAGCATGGTGCCTTAAGGTTCACTGTCTCTTTCGCTGAATTGTCTGATTTTTTTTTTTTTTTGGATATTGTTATTTTCCTGGGAAGCTACATTAGTTATAATCTTAATACTGATTTTTACAAACCTCTAATGGGAATCAGTTGTAAGTATGAGGAAATATAAAACATTATACTTTAAATATGTCTGTACCATATGGGCTTACAAGTAAAAATTTTTATCTCCTCCATAAAACACTCTGAAAAATTAATTTTTCAAGCTAGCATTCAGATAAATTAACATTATGATTTAAAGACATCAATATAGAATGATTATTTTCATTGGTACTATGAGTATATTAAAAGTGTATATATGGATTTTTAGAAAAATTAAAGTATAAATTATAAATGAATGCTTTGGTATATACTAGATGCATTTTTTATATAATTTTGTGTGGGTAAAGGGGTGCATTCTAACTTGTTTGTTTAAGCCTTAGAAAGGAGAGATGGTTATGAACATAGGCACATGTTTCTAGCTGTAATTCAGAGCTATCTCACTTAAAGAAGATCCAACACCACATAATTGCATGAGAAATATAAATGAGAAGGAAATATTATTTTTTCTCTAAAATGTAAGCAAAGTAAGCTACAAAAGTATGAATTTCAAACTGATGTGATGTTATAAAACTTAATATATATATTTAGTATATTAGTCTATAGAATATTGCTTCATGCAGTATTTGATTTCATAAATATGCAATCCAGTGAAATTGGAACACTAATTTTTATTTTATTTCTTTTCATTATTCAAAGAAAACTGAGTATCCTGATGTTGCTTGGCCATTAAGGTTTCGTATCCTGCATGAAATTGCACTTGGTGTCAATTACCTGCACAATATGAATCCTCCTCTACTTCATCATGACTTGAAGACTCAAAATATCTTACTGGATAATGAATTTCATGTTAAGGTAATTGCTTTTTGTAGGGAAAAAAAAAGGCTTATCTGTATGTTGTACTTACTAATTTAATAGTTTTAAAAAGACTTCAAACTGATTCCTTCCACTTAACCAATTTAGTATGATTCCCTTTTCTCTACCCCTTATTCCTAACTTGTGACCCACTTCTTCTGCTCCTTAGTTATCCCTAAACTACGGAGATAGATAGAATGATGCTGTGAAATGCAGTCAGGACTGGCACTATGGCCAACAATACTGGCATCCCTATAGAACCTGCCGCCTGCAATACTGGCATCCCTATGGGTGCTGGTTCACGTCCCAGCTGTTCCATTTCCAATCTACCTCCCTGCTAAAATGCACCAGGGGAAGGAGCAGAGGATGGTTCAAATCCTTGGGTTGCTATACCCATGTGGGACTCCGAGAAGAAGCTCCTAGGTGCTAACTTCAGATTGGTCCAAGTCTAGCCACTGTGGCCATTTGGAGAGTGAGCCAGCAGATGGAAAGATCTCTCTGTCTGTCCCTCTGTCTGTATTATTCTGCCTTTCAAAGAAATAATTAACTCTAAACATATATACAATTTTTCCCTTTTAGAATTTTTTTTTGAATGTATTACAGATTCACAAGAAATTTCAGAGATCACAAAGAGGTCCCATGTTGCTTTCATTCAGTTTCTTCTGGTTATATCACATGTTATTTTAATACAGTTTCAAGAATAAGAAATTTATATTAGTGAAATGCATTAGTACAGTTCTCTTTTTTATCTTCTGAACATTTGGTACATCTGCTGTTAGCAGTCAAGACACAGTACCATGTTGTCACTGCAAAGATATTGCTCATTCCCTTCCACTATCTCTTGGTCCTGATAAATATTGTTTTCATCTCTCTGGTCTTGTAATTTTAAAGATGCTATTTAAGTAGAATCATAATGTATGTGATTTTTTTAAAGATTCTCTTCTGTCAACATAGTACCCTTAAGATCCATCAGAGTTGATATTGCTGTCAGAAGTGGTCTTGTGTTGTTGTTGTTACTAACTGATTCCATGAAATGGATGAATGCCCATTATTTAACCATTTACCTACTGGGGGACATTTTGGTTCTTTCCATTTTTTTTTTTTTTGGCAATTACAGTAAAGTTGCTATGAACAGTCCTGTACAAATTGATGAGTGAATGTAAGTATTTCTGAGGGATAAATTCCCCGAGAACATACTGCTGAGTCATATGGAGATGGTAGGTTTAGGTTTTTTAAAAGAAACTATCAAGTACTTTCCAGAGTATCTATACCATTTTGTGTTCTACCAGTAATGTATGTGAAATCCAACTTTTTTACATTTTCACCAGTGTTTAATTTTTACCATTATAAATACCAGTGTAACAGATCTTCCGTCTGTGGGATCACTCTCCAAACAGCCACAAAAACCAGCTCTGGTTTGGGCTGAAGCCCAGAGCCAAAAGCTCCAACCTTATCTTCTTCATAATGGCAGAGGCCCAAGTATTTGGCCATGTTCCACTCTCTTCCCACATGCATTTGTAGGAAGTTCTATCAGAAATAATGCAAGCAGGTCTCAGTCAGCCCTCTGGTACAGAATACCGGAAACTTAAAGACAGTTTAACCCATTAGGTCATAATTCTCACCCCCTAGTTTTTTTTAAGCTTTATTTATTTTTATTAGAAAGGCAAATTTTATGTAAAGAGAAAGATCTTACATCGGCTGCTTCACTCACCAGGTGGCTGCAACAGCTAGAGCTGAGCCAAGCCTGAAGACAGGAGCCAGGTGCTTTTTCCAGGTCTCCCACACAGGGAGTAGGGGGTTACAGGGTCCCAAGGCTTTAGGCCATCCCCTACTGCTTTCCCAAGCCACAAGCAGGGAGCTGGATAGGAAGTGGAGCAACAAGCAAATGAACCAGCACCCATATGGGATCCCAAGGTGTACAAGGCAAGGATTTAACCACTGGGCCATTGTACCAGGTCTGCGCCCCAAATTTCTTAAAATAGGGCTTTTTGGGGTTTTTTTTAAACATTTATTTATTTTTGTTGCAAAGTCAGATATATAGAGAGGAGGAGAAATAGAGAGGAAGATCTTCCATCTGATGATTCACTCCCCAAATGACCACAACAGCCGGTGTTGTGCCAATCCGGAGCCAGGAAGCAGGAACCTCCTCCGGGTCTCCCACACGGGTGCAGGGTCCCAAGGCTTTGGGCCGTCCTCGACTGCTTTCCCAGGCCATAAACATGGAGCTGGATGGGAATTGGAGCTGCCAGAACTGGCGCCCACATAGAATCCCGGCACATTCAAGGCAGGGACTTTAACCACTAGGCCATTGTGCCGGGCCCTTTTAAAATGGATTTAAGGGTAGTCTTCTACCCTTAAATTTGCAAGTCAATGTAACTTTTGCACTCTTTAAAGGTTAGACTGGGGTTGTTGTGAAACAATAGGTTAAGGCACTGACTGCTAAGCCAGCATCCTATAAGAGCACCTCTTCAAGTCCTGGCTGCTGCACTTTCCATCTAACTCCCTGCTTATGTGCCTGGGAGGAGCAGTGGACAGTGTCTTGTGTACCTGGAGCCCTGTCATCTACATGGGCCATGCTGATGGAGTTGTTGGATTCTGGCTTTGGCCTGGTCCAGCCCTAGCCACGAGAGCCGTTTGAGGTGTGAACAAGGGGATGTAAGATCAGTGTGTGTCTCTCTCCTTCTTCCGATCTTTGTCTCTGTAACTCTGCCTTTAAAATAAATAAATCATCTTTTTGAAGGAAGGAAGGAAGGAAAGAAGGAAGGAAGGTAGTTTCAGATACTTTAACAATAATTAGACTGACATTACCTTTTGCGACATCCTACACTACCTCTCCATTCTGTCCCACAAAAGAAAACTATAACATGGTGAAGGGATCTTCAAGTTCTTTCAATGACCCAAAATGTAAGAGATTTGCATTTTACAAACCTTTCAGTCTTCTTGGACTTTTTTTCTTTTGACTCAATACTGAAACTATGCTTGGTACTGAAACAAGAGTTAAATGTTTGTTCTTGACCTCTGCTTTGTATTTCATTGAGCAGAAGGTCAACCTTGGTCTTTCTTTGCTATAACTAAAATGTAAAATATTCCTTATTTTGTATATTTTTTGTAATTTTGTTTTAACACACAGAACAGTGACTTTTTGGGTGCTCTCTTTTAAATTATCATCATCCTTTTGTAGCTGTACCTTTATCATTCTGTTGCTTATTTTTTAGTGTTCCTTGAAAGTCAGGGTTCATGAGCAATTCATGAAAAAGTAACAGTTCTTTTTTTTTTTAAATTTTACTTCTTTTTATTATTATTATTTTATGATACAGTTCCATAGGCCCTGGGATTTCCCTTATCCCAGCCCCAATTCCTCCCTCCTCACTGAGTTCCCCTATATCACTACTACAGTGTAGTTCTTCATGCACAATCATATGTCCACCATTGCAGGCATGGACAGTGGCAGAGAGTCCAGCATCCTATTGTCAAGATTGGGAGCCCATCTTTGTCTGGAAGTAGAGGTGCATACTGCATTGTATCCTCACGTCTGGATATGATGGTCTCCATTACACAGTCACTGTACATCTCCTTAAATGAAAAGCCACAATACAGAATCAACAACAGGAAGAGAAATAGAAATTTACAGTGCCATGAAGTTAAATAACATCTTACTAGATATGATAGTCTCCATTACACAATTACTATACATCCCCTTAAATGAAAAGCCACAAATCATAATCAAAAACAGGAAGAAAAAAAAGGAATTAATAATACCTTAAAGTTAAATACCATGCTACTGAATGACTAATGTATAGCTGAAGAAATGAAAAATTAAGAATCTTCTTGAAGAAAATGATGCTACTGTATGATCTGTGAGTCATTGAAGAATTTAATGAGTAGAAAGTGTTTTGAAGAGGTTAAACTGAGAAAAAAAAGTCAAAATCCATGAGATACGTTTCTGCTGATCTTTGTTGGTGAGATATGTCTCCTGTAGGCAAAAAACAGATGGGTTTTGTTTTTTGATCCAATATATGACATTTGATTGATGAATTTAAGCCATTTACATTCAGGGTTAATATGAATGGGTGGTACTTTGGTCCTGTCATTTTAGGAATGGGTTGTTCATTGATTTAATTTTCTGTTTTTATTTTGCTGGGATGTTCTTCCCATTTGCCTTTGGTTTTGGTGGACGCTATTTCTTTTCTCTTTCAAGAGAACATCTTGAAGTATCATTTGTAGGGCAGGTGTTAAAGAGGTAGATTCTTTTAGCTTTTCTTGACTGTGGAAGAATTTTATTTCATTTTCAAAGACAAAGGAAAGTTTTGCTGGGTACATTATCTTGGGCCAACAATATTTTGCTTTTAGAATCTGGAATATATTGCTCCATTTTCTTCTTGCCTGTAGAGTTTCCTGTGAGAGATCTCCTGTGAGTTTAATTGACATTCATTTATATGTCAACTGATTTTTTTGACGTGCACATTTAAGGATCTTTTCCTTATGTTCAATTGAAGAGAGCTTGATTATCATGTGTCTTGGTGAAGATTTCTTTTGATCAACCCTGTTGGGAATTCTGTGCCCCTCCTGTATGTTGTTTCCCAATTCTTTCTCTAGATTAGGAAAATTTTTCCCTTATTATTTCTAGTAACATTTTAAAACTCAGCTTCTCTTTCTGCACCTTCTGTAACTCCTATAAGTCTTATATTTATCCTTTTAATAGTGTCTTTCAATTCTTGAATACTTGATTTAACTTGACCCAGCTCTGTTTCCAGATTTTTGTTAGTTTCCTCCTGGTGACAGGAGGTATCTTCCAATTCTGAAATTCTTTCTTCTGCTTGTTTCATTCTATTTTGGAGACTCTCCACTATGCTTTTAGTTTGCTCCACTGTATTCTTCATTTCTGATATATCGGCTTTCATTTTATTTATTTCCAGTGTGACATATTCCTTGAATTCCTTGAATGCTTGCTTTACATGCTTCTCATTGTTGATAAAAGTTTTATAGCAAGTGTTTGAATTCTGTATCTGCTATTTTCTTGATGTCTTCCTCAGTGAACTCTGAGATTGGCAAAGGGTATTCCTCCTGTGCAGGGGAGACTTCAGTAATATTCATTGTGGCTCTGTCTCTTCTTTTGCTCTTGGTCATTGTACTTCAGGTTAGCAGATTCTTCTCCTTGGGACAGGTTTCTTGTCACCCACAAGGCTACAGTTCGATTTTACTTATTGTAGTTGGTACATGACTTTTTGTTTGCAGTCACTTGTGCCACTCCCTCCAGCAAGTTCCAGGTCTGGGTTCTTATGTTCGATTTCCACCAAGGTCTCCATAGAGACCATGCTCCTAGCGCACCACTCTTTACCTCCTGTGATACCTTGCTGAGGCTGCACTGTTGTCTGTAAAACCTTTCTCCCACTTATTAGAGCAGTTCCCAGGATTAGGGAGACACCAGGTATCCTCTATAGTAGGTTGTTGGTGGTTCTGATCTTGCTGCAACCTGTTGGACGTTAGGTCTGAGGGCCACATGGGCCTATTTTGACGCGTGCAATGCCATGGTCGGTATTATTTTCCTGTGGGACAAGTGCAGTGCACTAAGCTCAGTGAGTTGTTCTTGAGCTCAATGCATGCACAGCTCACGGTTATTCTCTGCAGTCTTAAATTCTTTGCTACACTATAAAAAATGGCACCGGATGTGCCACTACTAGAGTTCTTGATCTGCTGGCTGTCAGGTCTGAGGGCTACCGGAACTTATCTTAGGTAGAAGCTGTAGAATGCCACTTTGTTGCAGTTCACTGAGTCAGAAATGAGTTCACTCCCAGCTTAGTGCATGCGCAGTCCTGCCCCATAGCCCTTGCCTCCTTAAACAAAATGGCAACCCATACAGCTCTAGGGGACGGATTGAAGTATGAAATCCACCCTGTTCTCACACCGCCCATCTGGGACCTGCTGCTCTGTCTTTGTTCCTGGTCAAATCAAGTGGACCAACAGGACAGGAAGTTCTTGTCTGGGTTCACCTCCTGAGCTCCAGGTGAAATTCCCTTTAACCTGGTTGCTGGTGGAGTTCCAGCTGCTGGTGGAGTTCAGATCACCATTTGCTGGATGCTGCTGGGATTATGACTTGCTGCAACCCCACTCTGCTGTGTCTGCTACTTTTCTGAGTCTGTCAGCCTCCAGGTAGTCCTCTGCTGTTGTTCTGACCTCTTCTATTTCCTGGAATGTGCCCTCTCTACCTCATACTGGCTAATATTTCTCCATCTGTTTAGTAGCGTCCTTATCCTATTATGCCATCTTGATTCTTCAAGTAATAGTTCTTGATGTACCTCTCAACAAGTACTTTTCATGAAGTGCACATAAATCTGTAAGAATAAAATAACAGAATTAACTTGAAAGTCACATCAAACTTCAGTTTTTTGGAGTCAGTTTTATAAGTGGAAAGCTAACCAGTCGCTTAATGTCTAAAAGAAGAATGTGCACCGCTAATTAAGGTCAACTGAGGCTTTTCTAAAAGCTTCTAACGGATGCACTCGGGGTTGGCATGATGCTACAAGAGGTCCAACTGCTGCTTGCAATACTGGCATCCCATATCAGAGTGCCTGCTAGCTCCCTGCTACTGTGCCTGGAAAAACAACAGGAGGTGGTTTAAGTACTTGTGTCCCTGAGCCCTTGTGAGAGACCTGGACGGAGTTCTAAGGTCCTGATTTGGCCTGGTCCATTACAGCCATTTGGGGACTAACCCCATGGGTGAAATAGTTCACTCTCTCTCCTCCCACCCTCCCTCATTGTGTAATTCTGCCTGCAAATAAAACTTTTTGAAAATGCAGTTAAGTTCTTTATTCTTTGTCAATCAAGTGTCTGATAGTTTACCTGAGATGTAGATGAACTACTGGCATGCTTCTTGAGAAGGAAATGTTTATGTGCACCTTATCTTCTTTGCTGCTCTGCTGTCAGTCTTATGTGGAAACAGAAAACAGTTGGTCTCTGATTTAACCACGATTCACCTTAAAGATTTTTGATTGTTTAATAATAAAAAAGCATAAGCAGGAAGTAATTGAAATACAATGTCCCAGATGGAGTTCTTTCCATTTTGTTGACCTTTAAAGTCTAAGTAATTTGTTTTTCACTGATTCCAATATTCATTTGTTCACTAAATATCATTTCTATTCTTTCATCTTGTTTTATTTTAAATGTGTTGAGTTAAAATGTTGTATAAATTAAACAAGATTTACACATAAAGTAAAACTAAGCATCTGAGAGGTTTGTTACAACAGTTGTTTATCTGTGCTTTGTCATGGACATGTTCTATATGCTAACTTTAATGCTGCTACTAGAACTAGATACCATTCCTTTTAGTAGTAAACATAAGACATAGAGTAATGACTTTTTTATATTGGAATCTTGCTCACTTCAAACCTTAAGAATATGCTCTTCAGTGAATCATAAATAAAACCTTAAATAAAGCTGAGTTGCACCAATAACTAATCGGTGACAACGATGATCAGATTTAGCAGTTCTGTGCAGTGAAGGTAAATTTCAATAGCACATGCTATCACACTGCTAACCATAAAATTTAAAGTGTTTGGTGTGTATTATCACTTGCAAAGAACTTACAGGAAAAAAAAAAGCACTAGTCTTTTGACATTTCTAATAATGTATTAAATATCAAGTCAGTATGTATTGCTTCTAGAATAATTGGGTTCAGTGTAATTGAATTTTGTTTTTGCAAAATCTATAGAAAATATAGAAATAAAATGCCCGTGTAACGTTTTCTTTCATCTAATACCTAAATACACAAAGACATTCAGTTCATGGACTTGGTAAAGAAAATGTTAATCCAATTATTTACTGTTTTTCTCATACAGATTGCAGATTTTGGTTTATCCAAATGGCGCATGATGTCGCTCTCACAGTCACGAAATAGTAAATCCGCACCAGAAGGAGGCACAATTATCTATATGCCACCTGAAAACTACGAACCTGGACAGAAATCAAGGGCCAGTGTCAAGCACGACATATATAGGTACAATGTGTTGGTTTGCTCAGAGTTAACCTTACCTAAAAAAAATATAAAATTAATCAGCAAGGATTTTACAGCTCTCATAACTTTGTTATAGGTACTAAATCAAAGAAAACGTTATATAAACATTTTATTTCTGTATTTTCTACAAGGAGGAATTATTGTTCCTTGATTTGGCTGAAAATTCCCTGTGTAACCTTCAGTTTTCTCTCTATGATGATGTGTTGCTTGGTTACCATTCAAGTGTATGTGTCTGTTTTGAATGCAAAGCTAATTTGGGTATATGGAAAATTCCTATACCCTATTTAATCATATATCGCAAATATAAACACCTGTATCTGAAACAGATGATTTATAATTGATGTTAAATTTTAGGCAGAATACTTCTACCTTAAGGGTGGACAGTATTAAGACCACTGGTTGTTACAGCAAGACTTCATGAGACAATGTTTTTATTTCTTTGTTCTATATTTTAATTAAACAGTATCACATAATTAAAAGAGCTTTCCTTAGGTGAATGTTTAAGAATGACTATGAAGTTGGGCATGGCACAGTAGCCTAACAGCTAAAGTCCTTGCATTTCACATGCTGAGATCCATATGGCGTTCGTTCTAATCCCGGCAGCCCCAACCAGCTCCCTGCCTGTGGCCTGGGAAAGCAGTCGAGATGGCCCAGAGCCTTGGGACCCTGCACCCGCATGGGAGACCTAGAAGAAACTCTTGGCTCCTGGCTTCGGATCAGCTCAGCTCTGGTCATTGCAGCCACTTGGGGAGTGATTCAATGGATGCAAGATCTTCCTCTCTGTCTCTTCTCCTCTACATATATCTGATTTTGCAATGAAAATAAATAAATCTGAAAAAAAAATGAATGACTATGAAGTTACTCTCTCAAAGAGTATGTAACTTTACACTTTATAACAATAATTTCCTACTTTTTTTGAAATATGAAAAACAGAGCTTCCATCCACTTGTTCATTCCCCATAAATCTGCAACGATCAGGGCTTAAGCAGACCAAACCAGGAGCTAGGAATTCATCCTGGTCTCCTACATGAGTGAGAAGAACTCATCAACATGACCCATGACCATTGTGCCTAGGATCTGCATTGGCAGGAAATTAAATATCAAACCAGCACCTCAACCAGCATCTTAAGTACTAGGCCAAATGCCATCTCCTACCTTTCCAAATTAATATTCATTGCTTTTCCAAACAAAACAATCTTGAGCAGTTATCATCTTGATTTCTTATTGGTAATTCTTTATGTAGCATTTCACTACCTTATCATTTTCTAAAATAGCATTTTGACAAATTTTTATATCAGCACAGTTTTGGCTTATTCCAATTTCATTTATAAACATAAAGTTGACATAGATGAAATGTGTTCTTGTCTTAAACAGCTATGCTATTATCACATGGGAAGTCTTATCCAGAAAACAGCCTTTTGAAGGTAAGTTCATGTTGACATCCTTACTTGAACATCATGTTGGCAAGCTACATTCTGGCATTGGTCTTATTTTAAGTATACCTGTCATTCATTTTGCAAAATACAATATGAAAACAAGTATCAATTGTGAAACGACCATACTCAGCAAAGAACTAGACTAAAGGTCAAAAAGAGTAGACTAGTTTTAATTTTTTTTTTTTTTTTACTGCTAAGAGTTGCATTCAAGACTAGGGGAGAAAGAGAGACAGAGAGAGACATCTTCCATTGCTAGTTTACTCTCCAAAAAGTTGTAACAATGGGGTTTCCTGTGAACGTCGCAGGAAACCAAACACCTGGGACATCCTTCATTGTTTTCCCCAGGCCATTAGCAGGGAACTTGATCACAAGTGGAGCAGCCAGGGTTGAAACGAGTGCCCAGATTGGATGCCACTGCTCCCTGAAAGCAGCTTTACCCACTAAACTATAGTGACAGCCCTCAAACTCTAGATTCTTATTTCTTGTTCTCACGATAATAGTATCTTGTGAGAACAAGAAATAAGAATCCTTTTTATCTCATAATAATAAGGTATATTATGGAACCACTGAATTTTCTTAGGTCCTCATTTTCCCCATATGCAAAATGAGTTTTGAATTAATATTTGCAAGAACCATTCCAGGTGTTAAACTGTGTGAATACTTAACTATGTATACAGCCCAGTCAACCTTGAAAAATAACTCTTTGTGTATATATGTGTTGTTGATGTTGTTTTAATTTTCATTACTTTGAAAAATAACTCTTTTGGGCATGGTCCCATGCTTCAGTGGCTAAATTCTTCCCTTGCATGCACCAGGATCCCATATGGGAGCCATTTCATGTCTCAGCTGCTCCACTTTAGATCCATCTCCCTGCTTGTGGCCTGGGAAAGTAAAGGATGGTACAAAGCCTTGGAACTCTGTGCCCCCATGTGAGAGACGTGGAAGAAGCACCTGGCTAGTGGCTTCAGATCAGTTCAGCTCCAACCATTGCGGCCACTTGGGGAGTAAGCAAGCAAAAGATGATTTTTCTCTCCATCGTTCCTCTCCTTGTAAATCTGCCTTTCCAATAAAAATAAGTAAATCTTTACAAATAATAATAATAGAGGAGAAATAAGATGCCAGATAGGGTAAAGACACATTTAAACAGAGTGACAATCACTAGCCAGGGAGAAGCATTCTTGAGAAGCTGTAATACCAGGAAACAGGAGAGGACAGGCCAGTAGCATTGGGACAACTGGAGACTCATGGACACAGGAGAGCAGCAGAGATAGTGGAGCAGTGTTGCAGTGACAGGATACCCATGTGGTGGTCGGCAGCTGGCAATCAGAGAACCAATAGTGGCCAACAGGGAAGGGGAGTTGACTGGGATCTCAAGAGGTGAACCCCAAAAGAACTGTCTGTCCTGCTGATTTGCTTTAATTGACCACAAGCAGAAATGGAGTGGCAGAGCCTAAGCATGGGGGTGCAGGAACAGGGTAGATTTCACGACCCAAATCCCCACCAGTGCAACATAGGTGCCATGTCTTATAATGATGAAATGGCTGTGAGGCCAGAGAAACAACAGTGAGCTCCACAAGCACTAAGCTGGGAGAGAAGCAGCATCTGGCTCAATGCATTGCACTGGTGCCAAGAGCAAAAAGGTACCAAGATGGTATCTTACAGGTTCCACTGAATAGGTCCAAGTGACCTCCAGACCTAATTGCTAATAGGCCTGACATCCACCTGTGCCACATCAGGCATCATTTTGTATACTGAAGAAGAAAAGGCTCTGACACTGGGTGAATAACAGCTCCATAGGCACTGAGCCAGGAGAAAACTCACTCCCAGCTCAACACATTGCACTGGTCTCACATGGGGAAGAGTAACCACTTGTCATCCTACGGGTTCCACACAAAATAGCTCAGGTGTCCCTCAGACCTAACAGTCAGCAGGTTCCAGCAATACCAGCACCACTGACAAGCCAAGGACTTAGGACAGCTGGTGTCTCCCAACTCATGCACACTGCTGAAATCAGGAGTGGGAGAAAGATTCTACAAGCAACAGTGCAGCCACAGCACTGGATCACAGGGCGTGGAGAGTGGTGAGCCAGAGGCTGGAGCTACAAAGATTGTGGTGGAAGCCTAGCATAAGAGCCTGGACTGAAACTCACTGGAGGGAGTGGCACAGATGAACTGAGTGCAGATGAAGAACCGGATACTGAACACACAATCAGTGAAATCGGCCTATGGAGAACCAGCCCTAAGGAGAAGAAACTGCTAACCAGAATAGCAATGACCAAGAGCAAAAAAAAAAAGAGACAGAGGGGCCTGGTGCAGTAACCTAGCAGCTAAAGTACTTGTGTTGGAAGCACTGGAATCGTATGTGGTCACCGGTTCTAATCCCAGCAGCACTGCTTCTCATCCAGCTCCCTGCTTGTGACATGGGAAAGCAGTTGAAGATGGCTCAAGGCCTTGCGACCCTGTACCCAAGTGAGAGACCCAGAAGCTCCTGGCTCCTGGCTTCTGACTTCAGATCAGCGCAGCTCCAGATATTGTGACCACTTGGGGAGTGAATCAGTGGACAGAATAACTTCCTCTCTGTCTCTCCTCTCTGTATATCTAACTTTCCAATGAAAATAAATAAACATTTTTTAAAAAAAGGAGCGACACAATGAATATTACTCAAGTGTCCCCTACAAAGGAACAAAAGCTTTTGCCAACCTCAGTGTTAACTGAAGCAGGTAACAAACAAATTGTGGATGAAGAATTAAAAAAAAAAAACAACTTGTTATAAAGCTTCTTAACAAAAAGCAGCACCTAAAGGAGTCCAAGGAACTTAAGGAATATGTCACACAGGAAATAGCAACACTGAAACAAAATCAAGCCAAATTATTAGGAATGAAGGTCACTATAGAGCAAATTGAAAAACATTTCCTTCAATAGTGGGGGAAAAAAATCAATAAACTGGAAGAGGAACTGAGTCAAGCTCAGAAAACTATTTAAGAATTAAAGGCACTAAAGTATTCAAGAATTAAGGGACACTATTTTTTTTATTTTTATTTTGAATTTTGAATTTTATGATAACAATTCCATAGAGCCTGGGATTCTCCCCCTGAAATCCACACACACACCCAACTGGCTTTCCATAAGCAACACTACTTAAAGGCTTAGAATATAAGAGTTATGGGGCTTTCAGAAGGCACAGAAAGAGAAGCCGGGTTTAAAAATATGTTTAATGAGGTAATAAAGAAAAACTTCCCTAGTTTGCTGAAAGAATTGAGAAAAAAATACAGGAGGGGCACGGAACTCCCAATGGGGTTGACCAAGAGCAGTCTTTGCCATGACACATCATAATCAAGCACTCTTCAATTGAACACAGGGAAAAGATCCTTAAATATATGTATGAAAAAAAATCAGTTAACATTTGGAGGAACCCTAACCAGACTCACAACTGACCTTGCAGAGGAAACTCTACAGGCCAGAACAGAATGGAGTAACATTCCAGATTCTAAAGAAAAAATGTGAACCAGAATAACTACCCAGCAAAGTTTTCCTTTCTTTGAAAATTAAAGAAAATTAATTTACAGTAAACAAAAGCTCAAGGAATTCACCTCTTTCAGACCTGCCCTACAGATCATACTTAAAGATGTTCTATTGACAGAGAAAAGGAATAGCACCCACCAAAACCAAAGGAAAATATGAAGAACATCCCAGTAAAACAAAAATCCATCACTAAAATTATAGGACTAAATAGCCACTTATTTATATTAACCCTGAAAGTAAATAGCTTAAACTCATCTGTTAAGCATCACAGGTTATCAGACTGGATCAAAGAACAATCCCATCTGTCTGTTGCCTATAGGAGACATATCTAACCAACAAAGATACATGAAAAGCAAAAGTAAAAAGATATTCCAGGCTAATGGAAAGGAAAAATGAGTTGGTGCAGCCATTCTGATATCAGATAAAATAGACTTTGATGTGGAAAATATTAAGAGATGAAGGAGGACACCATGTGATGATACAAGGATCCATTTGTCAAGAAGAGTTCATGTTACTAGTTTTTTGGGATGTTTTCTTTTTCATCCCAAATATACTGGTTTTCTCACTTGCTTTTCTTTGCTAATGCGGGAAGAATTTTCTTTTGCTCATCTTCTTTTTAAAAAATGGCTCTTGTAATTTGTGGTTTTTAATTTCAATTCCATTCATTTTTGCTGTGATATCATTTTTTAAAAGATTTATGTTATGTTGTGTTATGTTATGTTATGTTGTTATGTTATGTTATTAGAAAGTCAGATATACAGAGTGAAGGCGAGGCAGAGAGGAAAATCTTCAGTCTGCTGATTCATTCCCCACATGGCTGCAGTGACCAGAGAACTATGCCAATCCAAAACCAAAGCCAGGAACATCTGCCTGGTTTCCCATTCGGGTGCAGGATCCCAAAGCTTTGGACTGTCCTTGACTGCTTTCCCAGGCCACAAGCAGAGAGCTGGATGGGAAATGGAGCAGCTGGGTCTTGAACAGGCACCCAGATGGGATCACAGTACATGCAAGGCGAGGACTTTAGCTGCTAGGCTACTGCGTCAGGTCCATATCTTGCTTTCTGTTCATTTTTTTCTTTGTTAATATGTCATTGAGATGATTTATTAGATCATTTATTTGAGATTTTCTATTTTTGCCCAGCACCTGATGTTATAAATATCTCTCTCAAAACTGTTTTTGCTATGTCTCATGGGTTTTGGTATTTTTGTTTTTATTTTCATTTCTTCAAAAAAGTTTTGTTGGGCCAGGCGGCGTGGCCTAGTGGCTAAAGTCCTTGCCTTGAATGTTCCGGGATCCCATATGGACACCGGTTCTAATCCTGACAGCTCCACTTCCCATCCAGCTCCCTGCTTGTGGCCTGGGAAAGCAGTTGGGGACAGCCCAAAGTTTTGGGACTTTGCACCCATGTGGGAGACCTGGAAGAAGTTCCTGGATCCTGGCTCCGGATTGGCACAGCACCGGCCATTGCGGTCACAGTGAATCATCAGACGGAAGATCTTCCTCTCTGTCTCTCTTCCTCTCTGTATATTTGACTTTCCAATAAAAATAAAATAAATCTTTTTTAAAAAGTTTTGTTTTCTTTTTTCTTCAGCAGCACATAGATCATACAAGAGCACTGTTTTCTTTAAAGAAGGTTTTTTATTTTCTTTTTCATTTCTTCAACACATTGGTCATTCATTAGTACGTTATTTAAGTTCATATTGTTGTTAATTTCCTATTTTTCTTACTGTTGTTGATTTTGTTTTATGCCTTTTCATTTAAGGGGATGCACAAAAACTGTGTGATAGAGCTTATAGATTATTATAATTATAATATAGATTATATTATTATAATTATAATATAGATTATTATATCCAGATGTGAAGATACAATGCAGTATGCATCTCTACTTCCAAATTCAAGATGGACTCTCAATGCAATTGTTAAATATATCTTGACAATAGAATGATAGTTTGTAATATACTTATAATGAATGAAATGCTTTTTTTTTTTTGGACAGAAGTCACCAATCCTTTGCAGATTATGTATAGTGTATCTCAGGGACGTCGACCTGACACTAACGAAGAAAGTTTACCTTTTGATATACCTCATCGAACACTTATGATATCTCTAATAGAAAGTGGATGGGCACAAAATCCAGATGAAAGACCGTCTTTCTTAAGTGAGTATAAAGGTTTGATCTGGACCATTTGAGATATGTGAATACCAAATACACAGTGAATACGTGTTCATTAAATGATTATACTAATTAGGTGACTAGCTGGGAGTGTTTGTTTAAATTCTTCTAATTCTTTTTATAACATTTACCATTGGGTAACTGCTTCTGGAACAGAATTGAGAATTCCTAACAAAAAGAGATCTTTATCTTCTGAAAGCAGTGATAATCACATTCTTATATTGAACAGCTTTTTATTGAAAACCTGCCAAGGGATGTATCACGAATAGCAGATTAGTAAACAAGATAGCCTAAATTAGGGCCTTGCAGGAGCCCTTATCCTTGCGGACAACACAGAGACAAAACATAAATGAACAAGGAACAAATCATTAAGTCTAAAGACAAACAAGGTAATAGGGGAGAAAGAAGATTTTTTTAAGGAGTAAACATTTAGTTGAGATTTGAAGCCTGAAAAGGAGCCAGTCATTCAGAAGTGGAAGAACAAGTTTTTCAGGCAGAGAAAACCCGCAAGCTAAAGGACGCATGCTGGAAGAGGAGCAGATGTTGTTCATGAAGAACAGAGAGGCCTTTATAGCTGGAGTATGCCTAGCAAAAAGGACATAACGGCAGGTGAGATTGGTCGGAGAAGGCCATTGGACATAATCCAAAGGTTAGACATTCAGTCCATGTGCAAGGGAACACTGTGAAAGTGTGCTTTGAGGGGGCTCACAAGGTGCAATTGAAGTTCAGGTGAAACCACTCACTGCCACATAGAAATCGATTGGATAAGAAACTCACTCGGGACTTTCTAATGGAGGTGGTGATTCTTGAGGTAGAAAAATTACACAGAAGTTTCAGAAGTGGAATGTGAACAGATGAGATCTTCAGACGTCTTGTAACATTAAAAAAAATATAGAGAGCAGTAAAAGATCCATACAAAATAATTGGTAACTGGGCTTCAAAAACATTTAGAAACTTTTGCACTTCAAAAACCTTATTGAGAAAAGATCTAAAAGGCATGCCGTAGTCTAGAAAAACGTATCTGTATACGATGTATCTGCCAAAGATTTGTATCTAGAAACACAAGAATTCTGTCATCTCAGCAGGAGGACAAATAACCCAGTTAGAAATAGTGTTTGGATTTCATCACAGGAAGTATAATATACACGTGACTAAAAAACATGTCTTGATGCCATTAGGAAATGCAATTTAAAACTATAGTGAAATACCTGTATATAACCTCTAAAATGGCTATTGAGACTAAGACAAGTATTAAAATAATAAGTTTTGACAACAGTGTGAAGAATTGAAGTACTTAGACATTGCTAATGTGACTGACAAATTATGTACCCAGTTTGAGAAGTTCAACAGTTTGGCGAAAATGAAAGATAAATTTACCATACAACTCACAATTCTACCCACAGGTATTTGCTTAAAAGAAATGAAGATATAACATTGGCCAGTGACTTGTATGTGAATTATTGTAGCTCCGTTATTCAGATAGCCGAGAAGGGAAGGCAGTGATAATTACATCTACCACTGCAGCAGTGGATGGATTTGTTGCTCACAGGATATGCGCGATTCCCTGACAAAAATTGAGCATTGCTAACACGTACACATTGTAGACTGGATCGCCCAACAAGAGAATATAGTTAACAAAGGGAAAGGCACCCCTTTTAGAGCTCTGAGCATTCCAGTAGAGGAAATTTAGTAAGGGGTAAAAAAGAATTATCTTAGAACTATACCTATAAACAATACTGAATCTAAAAAATAATCACAATTTAAAAGTAAAAACCTTTAAAAATCTGAGTAGAGGAAAAGATATTGTGAAAGAGATGACAATAAAGAGTATAATTTTTGTGTGTTTTAGAAACTCCCAAAGGGATCAACAGTCAACTGGTCAGTTGGATCTAATCTGCAAAGAGGCTGAGAAAATAAGCAGAGATTTTTAATGCTGTCATTTGTTAACCCATAGAATTGTAATTTTGTGGAGATACAAAAAAAAAAAAAAAAGACTAACATTTAAAATACTAATTGGGGAGAATAAAGTGAGCTACAAATAACTCCAGTGAATCCTTATTCACTTAATAATTGCAATACTGATCCTGTTGTTGAATTCTCAGAGTTCTTTATATACACTTAGACACATGTGCTTTACCAGAGAGATGCAACTATTCTCCCAGTCTGTTATCTTCTTGTTTCAGTTAATACTGTCTTGACATGCAAGAGTTTCCATTTAAAAAAAAAATCAGTTATCAAATTGTTTTCTAAATTAAAAAGACTTATTTGATTGGAAGAGAGAGAATATACTTTCACTCACTAGTTCAGTCTCCATTACTCACAGTGAGGTCCAGCTGAAAGCACTATAGAAGCTAGGAACTCAATCCAGGTTTCCCACCGAGTGCAAGAAATCCAACTGCTTGAGCCATCACTACCACTTTCTAGAGTCTTCATTAGGTGGAAGCTGGAGCTGAAGCAGAGCTTGTTGTCAGATCTAGGCATTCCAGTAGAGTACACAGTTCCCAACTGCTGTCTTAGCCACTAGTCAAAACACCCCAATTTTTATGGGCCCTGTTTTATGCTTCCCTAAGAATTCTAACTCAAGGTAAAAAAAAATGTTCTCCTATTTTTTTACATTCAGGGATGTGATCCGTTTCATGTCAGTTTTTATATGACATGTGTAAAGTGAGAATTTATTTTCTGTGGATATCCAACAGCCTTAGCACAGTTTGTTGAGAAGACTGTCACTGACGTGGAACACCTTTGTTGCAAATCAATTGACCACGATTGTAAACAGTTTATTTATATGTTCTGATTTCTTTTCCTCTGATCCTATGTCTCTTTATGCCAGAAATAAAAAGTCTGAAGACAGTTTAATGTCATTAATTTGTGGTTAAATTGACTTTGATTTTTACCAGTTAAGTGTATTTTTTTTTCTGGTTTAGAATGCTTAATAGAACTTGAACCAGTTCTGAGAACATTTGAAGAGATAACTTTTCTTGAAGCGGTTATGCAGCTGAAAAAAACAAAGGTAGATTGCACAATCGACAACTTACTTATTACTAAACTTTGCTTGCCCCTTGCTGCTTACTGGCACTATTGACATAACCGTCAGTTTGAAGGGAAGTACGTAAAGGAAATCACTACCCATAACTAAAATAAAAACTGGTGTTAGCAATTTTAGCGCCTGAGCTTTATGAGGAACTCAAGAACTTGAAGTTCTTTTGTTACCTTTTCACTAACTCCCCCAGTCCTTGACCTGTGCATTCTCCCCATTTCTCTACTTTCTAACAGATATGAATGCCTGATAACATTCCTTTTTTTTTAGTTCTGTGTTTTCTCCTCAAAACTTTCTCTTTTGTTTCTGTTCTTCCTGCAAATGTAAGTCGATGGGAGAGCCTGTTGTCTTGGTAATGAAGGGACATAACCCTGAAACAACTTAAACACTAGATCCTATATTTAAAAGTTAATCTTCGCAAGAATTTGGACTGCTTAAGTAATGTATTTCTAAATATTTTGATATCATTTAATAAACATATTACTCTACTCAGCATCTTATTGTTACTTTTTTTGGATCCTTGTAGCAATTCTGTGAAACTGCTAAAGCAAGACTATCGTCTGATTTTTATAAGTAACAGGTTCTCAGAAGCCACTCTTATAACACCTCACATAACTAGCTAATGACAGAGCCAGCAATATCATAAAGTTTCAAATGCTCTTTTATTTGATGAGCAGAGACAAAGGGAGAAAACTCCCATCCGCAGGCTCAATCTTCAGATGCCTCGCGCTTAGTTTGGGCCTTGTCCAGTCCTGACTGTTGAGGGGACTGGAGGATGAGCCAGTGGGTGGGAGCTCATAAAGTCCCTCCCTCCGGTCCTCTCCCCTCGCCCTCCGTGTGTCTCTTAAGTATATGCATTTTTAAATGCTTTTTAAAATAAATGATCTGCTTAGCAATGATCACTTACTGAGTATTTATACATAACCTCAGGTTTTTTTTAACCATGTATTACTTCTGATTCTCCTTACAGCAGTCCTGTAAAATGAATATTCTTGTCTTCAATTTTTTTTTTAAGATTTATTTTATTTTTATTGGAAAGGCGAATATACAGAGAGGAGAGACAGAGAGGAAGATCTTCCGTCTGATGATTCACTCCCCAAGTGAGCGCAACGGCCGATGCTATGCCGATCCAAAGCCAGGAGACTCTTCCGGGTCTCCCATGTGGGTGTAGGGCCCCAAGGCTTTGGGCCATCCTTGACTGCTTTCCCAGGCCACAGGCAGGGAACTGGATGGGAAGCTGGGCTGCCGGGATTAGAACCAGCACCCATATGGGATCCTGGCGTGCAAGGTGAAGACCTTAACCACTGCGCCATCGTGCCGGGCCCATCTTGCCTTCAATTTATAGAAAAGTAAACCCGAGTAAATCTCACACCCAAAGCCAAACACATAGCCCAGATGTAGTTGACTCTACATCCCCAGGATTCCATTATGACACACTTCCTCCTTTCCTTAGTGTAAGTCTTAGTTCCTTCCGTAAATGAAAATAATAGTAGTACTTATAAATATGAGACATTTCACACTTATTCTCACTGTTGAGGACAGTTTTATATTTAGGCATTAAATATATGTTAAAAAGATGAAACTCTGAGAGATAATAATTTGTTCCAGGTAACCACTTAATGTTGTATATATCCAGTCTTTCCTCTGTTCTGTTTCTGCTTTTATCTTTTATATCCTTCACTAATTTAGACCATTTAATTTTGCATAAGTACATAAAATATGTTAAGTCCATTGTATTTTAGTTTTATAATTTCCTAATCCCTTCCAATTAAAGTACATATAATGTATTCATTCCAGTTACAGAATGCTTTAAGTACTGGTCACGTATGTAATGAGAAGAAAATGGAATTATCTTTGAACATATCTGTAAATCACGGTCCACAAGAGGTAAATATATACATACATATATGTGTATGAATGTACACATTAATTCAAAATGAAAAAGAATATGGGAAATTTAGTCTAACTCCTTTTATGGGTGGAAAAACTGAAATCCGGGTAGTGTGTAGGATTTGTTAGGTAGCCCATGGTAAGCTTGAAATCCAGCTATTATAATTCTCTATTCATTGTTCATCCATCAATTGACAATCATTGATTCTGAGTTTGGCATCAAGTCATGTGGTTATCATTGTTTTATACAATGAATAGTGTTCCTGGAGGATCACTGATTATAGTTCTAATAACATTTGTGCTACCAGGTCCTTACCTAATTAATGAGGAAAAAGCCATTTTTGTTGATCTGCAAGAAAAATTTCTGAAGTAGCATTCATTCAGACTTACTTCCTATTAGTCATGCCTGTAAGAATACTTACAGAATCAGAAACCTAATAGTTCATTTGGCAGACACTTACAGCACAATGTGTAGTGGTTGAGTCACTTTTATACATACTACCTTATTTGATCCATGTGCATTTAAAATAGATAGTACAAATGTTACAGACAATAAATCCAAAAATCATATCTTAAATGGCCTTTTGAAATCCAGTAATTCTATGACAGAACTGAAGGAGAATTCAAGTTCTCTCTTGCTTTTTCCCTGGTTTCCCATCTTAAGATATTGAGAGCAAGAATTTGTTCTAAGCCTGTGGTTTTAAATTTCTCATATAACATTCAAACCACTGGGCAGGGTCTCTGAGGTCATACAGGAAAACAACATGAAAATTGGTAGTTCTAACATGCTATTATTTTTGCTGTCTCCCTGTTTGAGTTGGTAAGTATATCTTTGTCGATTGTCATATGTATGTGTATCATTCTTTAATTATTCAGAGTCTTGAGCTATTTGTAATAAGCTATTTAGAAACTAACATTGTATAGCTTCTGGACTGATTTTTAAAAACCCTGCATCTTCTAAACCCATTGACTTTATCTGTATCTGCTTAGGAATCATGTGGATCCTCTCAGCTCTATGAGAGTGGCACTTCCCCTGGCACCTCAAGATCCCTGTCAGCACCTCAGGACAGCGATTTTTTATCTAGTATGTTAATTTTCCAATCATTGTTGACCTTTCAGTTTTCTGGGATTTTTTAGGAACATATTTTTTTTTTTTACAAGCAGTGATGGTTTGTATTAAACATATCTTTCAATATCACTCAAAACTAATTTTTTTAAAAACATGAAAATAGTTATGCTACATGTAAGAAATTCATTGAAGTATTAGATACTATGGAAAGATAGAAATTAAAAAAAAACTGTGAAGAATGGGAACTGTTTCTTAGGAAGCACAGTATGAGAAAGGCGATTTATTTTCGGAGAGAGGTCTATATAGAGCTTGTGTAGTGCACTGCAGCAGTGGTATTCTTCACAGTATACTGGCAGCTTGTTTTACAAACTCAGAACCTTCCCAATGACAGAGCTAGTCACTTGCAAATCTAAGATTTGAAACCAGATGCAGTATTAAATGTTTCATCAATCCATTGCACCCTATTGGCATGATGAGAAAATCTATCCAAAGACCTGACCTGTAGCCATAAAGGGGAAGAATTTCAGGCAAATAAAATAGTACATGAGCAAGAAAGAACAATCAGTATTCTAGTTGGTGAGGGGAGTGAATGAAAGAAGATAAAAGATAAGAAGGGTGGATTTGTTATGAATGCCAACACTCAGCCAAGCATTTGAGGGTTTTATTGCTCTTGTATTTTTTCACTTGACTAAGGAATGACTTGAAACATTTTGTTTACTTTAGGAAGATTCATCCTGGCTTGAATATGTAGGGTATTTTGAAAGGAAAAGGAGATTCTAGGTGAGGAGTCCTGGTAGTATTAAGAAAGAAATTATGAGAACTAATGCAGAATAAAACAGAGAGGGTGGAGTAAGAGATAGTGTGCAGCACTTACTGAGAAATGGAGTTGAAAGAGTAAGGGTAGAAATAGGTTTTACCACTAACAAGAGTAATGATTAAGCTTTTATTATTATTTTTTAAATTTCAGATTCTACAGTGCAATAAAGGTAACACCCAGTAGGCTGTTAAAAATGCAAGGCAGAATATTCATGGAAGCAAAAATTTAATTAACATTTTAGATTTGAAAAATAGAAATATCAGTTGAGGCTCTAAAGTTGAAAACCATGGCCAATGAAGAAAATGGAAAATGCACATCAGAGATAGATTAAGAGGACACCTTTAAAGTTCAGAGGAGAGATACAGAGGAAATAAGAGACTATGTGAAGTAAACTTCCATGATCAGAAACACGCATAGGACAGGCAAGAATAGAAAAAAGTGCAGTGGAACTATTCAGCATAATCTAAACTAGCTAGGAAAGCCAGTGAAAAAGTAAAAGCATTACAGCCTGTATTCTATATGATACAAATGTTGATATTTTAGCTGATAGAATATCTAAGGAATACTTGAGATGTCTAAGTAACATGAAGATGTTTTGTTTGATAGGAAAAACGCAGGACTATTCTGTGAAGCTACATCAGTGCCCAGTAAATCACAGTTGGAATAGCACTGTGCCTCTATCTCAGAAGACACCCTGCTGTGATCACAAAACCTCCCCATGTTCTTTAATATTAATAAATCCACTCCTGGCTGAGCAAAATTCAGGCAAGTAGCTACTATAAGAAATACTATACATGATAACTTTTCCTTCACAAATACATAATTTAGTAGATATGCCATATGTAGAATGGTTTGTATTCAATTTTTCAAAAGATTTAGATATTTGTTTTTATTGAATGGAAAGATTTTCATAGAGAAGCAGAGACAGAAAAAGATCCATCTGCTGGTTCACTTCCCAAACGGCCTCAACAACCAGCCAGAACTGAGCCAATCTGAGGCAAAAACAAGGAGCTTCTTCTGGGTCTCCCATTCAGCTACCAGGACCCAAAGCACTGGGCCATCCTCTATTGCTTTTTCCAAGGCATTAGCAGGGAACTGGGTTGGAAATGGAGCAGACAGGACATGAATCAGCACCCATATGGCGATGCTGTTGCTTGCAGGTGGAGGATTAGCAAGTTGAGCCGTCACACCAGCCCCTCCGTATTCAGTTTGATAGCATGCATATTTAAATAGGAAACCAGCCCCAGTCCTGAAGACAGCAATATAGACATGCAAAATTAAGTAGACCAGAGTAGTATTCCCTGAACTTAGGAGCGATTTAATGTTAGTAGAGCTATTATGCTGACTTATCAAACATATGCAAACATCCATTATATATGAAACCAAACAAACAACAAATCCAAAAAGTAAAGTATTTTCACTGCATTGCTTACAGTGTATAAAAAGGCAGTGCTCGGGACCAGTGTTGTGGCATAGTGACTGAAGCCACTAACAGCAATACTGGTATCCCATGTTGGTGCCAGTTTGTGTCCTGGGTGCTCCACCTGCGATCCCTCTCCCTGATAGGTGGCCTGAGAAAAGCAACAGAATCTATTGCAAATATTTGGCAACTGCTACCCACATAGAAAATCTGGAAGAAGCTCCTGACTCCTGGCTTTAGCCTGACCCAGCCCCAAGCCAGCTGGCAAATGAACCGGTGGATGGAAAAATCTTTGCTCCTTGCCTCTCCCCACCTGTGTGATGCTGAGTTTCAAATAGATAAGTCTTAAAGAAAAAAAAAAGGCAGAAAAAAAAATAAGGCAGTGCTTTTTCTAGAATGCAAAGGAGATGTTCCATGTCTCTTTTCCTGAGAAACAATAGCATCCTCTAAACCACTGATGTCCCATGTTAGCACCAATCATGGGGAAATTTGGTTTTATGTCATATTTGTTTAATCTGTCCTCACCATTTTGACTGTTCATCTGTTCCTCGTCTACAGAACGTGTACAGCCTGGCATAGCTCAACTATGGATCCAGAGCAAAAGGGAAGATATTGTAAACCAAATGACTGAAGCTTGCCTTAACCAGTCACTAGATGCCCTTCTGTCCAGGGACTTGATCATGAAGGAGGACTATGAACTTATTAGTACCAAACCCACAAGGACCTCAAAAGTCAGACAGTTACTGGACACTACTGATATCCAAGGAGAAGAATTTGCCAGAGTCATAGTTCAAAAGTTGAAAGACAACAAACAGATGGGTCTTCAGCCTTACCCAGAAATACCTGCAATTGCTAAATCATCAACTTTAAATTTACCTCCCAATAAAAGCTTATAGATGGGTCTTTTTCAAGAAGAAAAGTCAGTTTATCAAATGATATTTATCTTTGTTGCCTTTTTTGTAAAATCCATTTGAGTATTCAAGCTTTACAGAAGATTCTTCTTTAGACAAGTGTTAGTCTCCTTCATGACGATGCAATATTTCATAATATAAGTAAAGGCTTGCAGTTTTGCTACACAATTTAATTTGAATGTCTTTCAGTAACTAAAACATTACTAAGTGTAATAATTATATTCTAGTCCATAACAGTGCTTTAAGATATTAAGTGTTTCTAATGGAAATCACTTTCATATTCACTTTCTTTGTGGATTATTTATTACTGGTCTAAGATGCAGTTTGTGCCTTTCCACAGAGGTCATATAATTCAGTACAGAATTCTTGCCTTAGATTCCCAGGTTTAAATTCTCTTAAAAAGCTCACTTATTTTAAATCACTTTATTTAGATTACACTTTACAATTTTGTTCATGAATTATTCTTTAACAGTGTTTCAGAAAACACAAAGTACGTAAAGAAAAAAATGAGCCTTTCAAAACCAGTTAGATGCCCCCATTTTTAACCTCAGCCTTCCCCCATCACAAGCTAACCAAAATGACTAGCCTGATGTGTAGCAATATATCCTCTAAAACCCTTGCTTCTGCTTATATTTAAAGCATATGCTCATTTTAGAGAAGATCTTTTCTTAATATTATTACTAGTATTATAATGTATCATAATACAACCTGCTTTTTTGCACTTATTATATACAGCCCTCCAGATCAGGTAGCGGTCTGAGTCATTCTTTTTTGTTGTTGCATAATGTCTATTCAGTGTTTTATATTTTCTTAGCTTGTTTACACCAAAGTAAACTCAAACAATAAAGGTACCATGTAAGTTCTTTTCTTATTGGTTTGTCGGTTATATCACTAGATATAAACCTACAGGAGATCCTTTTTCTGAGAAACGTTTAGCAGTCAACAAAAAAGTGAGATATATTTTAAGATCCTAATCTTCAACAAACATTAGACTTAAACAGATTAGCAATTAAAATATTTTATTAAAATTATTATAGAATATTTAGATCTCCATTTAGAGTTTTACATTAGTCTATTATTGTACTTGTTGGAAATATGGAAATTTATAAGGAAAAATGAAAACTAAATGTATGAATTATCTATTAAGCTTCAGTTGAGTTTGAAAAGTTTAGTTTGTGACATAGGTAGAAAAAAATATATTCTAGTTTTTCCTTTTCCTCTATATCCTTAAAAGAGTCTTTTGACTATTAATGGCTTCAAATTCTATATTGACTTATTTGAATTGAAATTTATTAATTAAACAAATATATTTTCTGCAAGGAACAAACTCAGTCTATATGCTTCTAACCACATGCTTACCAGATATTAGTACATCTTTGCAAAGTTTTCTACAAGAATAATAGCATATTAATGAATAAGAAATTTATGTCACTAATCATGAATCTACATTGAATTTTCATTCCTAGTTTCATTACAATCTCTGTAATAGCACAGTGATGTTTAGAAGGTGAAACAAAAGTGCCAAGTAGGACCAACTGATACAAAAACAGGGTTTGGTGCTTTCCAAATATCTCTTCAAGGAGTAGGAGCAAAGCTGCAGAAAGAAAGATTCCTTTAAAACACATTTCCCAACATGTGGTGAAGTACATTAGTAGTAAAGTGTGATTATGACTGAACTTCAGAAAGTTGCAAAAAAATGATATTAACAAATATTTGCAGCAAGATAACAAAAACTATACATATGAAAGGTCTCCAAAATTTTCATGAAAAATGCTTGTTATGAATAAACTATGTATAGATTTCAAAATTACTTTGCACCAAAGCAAATTTCTTTTACTTCCATCTTTCCACAAACATTTTGAAATGCCTGTATTTTAGGTAATATGTAGACAAAGTGCTAAGTAAATGTTTGAGTTCATAGAAAGTATGTTCTTACCAGTAACTTTTCAGATCTTCTGATTAAGTGGAATGTGTCCGTTTTGTGTTTGCTTAATTCTCCTTGTTAGTCAAAAGTAGATTCAGACCCAACTTGAGAAACAAAATTTTTAAATCAATTGTGTTTTTAAAAATACATTTATATGATAAATGGCACTGCTTTTCTATTTATAATACAGGAAGCTTTGTAGCATTCAAATTAGAGAATTTGAAGCTCTGTTAATAAGTAGTACATGACGATGTCAATATTTAAGTGGTAGAAATACAGACTAAAATTCAATCAATCTAGAAAAATTAATAGTGTTTTTTAATTTTATTTTTTAATAATGATTGCATGGTTGATCAGGGAGGAAAGGATAGAGGCTTAGGGGAAATTGGGTGAATTCATTGCTTCCAAATTTGCTATTTCTTCTTGTTATTTCTGGGGGAAGAGGAGAGACAAAGGGGGAAACCACTCATGACTTTCCACACATCCCAATACCAAGAGATGAGGAACTGCCACCTCATATCAACCCAGAGTCTCAATGTGTACATATTCTGAGGGCTCTGTCCAAGTGGCTTGGATAGTTCTGAAATGCTGCCGATTTTACCAATCCAAGGATGTTGTCACCTTCCCAATGTCCAAAACGAATAGTGTTTTTAGCTACGCAGAATGTGATAAGGGTAATCATTACCTAGACAGTATATTTTATGACAGTGCAACCCAGAAGAGCAACCCACAGATCAAGCTGTATTAACATTGGCTAAAGGTTACTGGACAGGGAAATTCATGGACCCCATCTCTCAGAATTCATCTTTAAAATGAGGTCCAAAAGTCATAATCTTTCAAGCAATGTTTACTCATGGTAAAGTTGAAAAGCCTATGTTTTTAAAGATATTATAGAATTCTGAATAAAATACTTTTCCTAAGATTCAAATTCTGTTTTCTTTATGTTTGATGGCCACACCTGTCTTTAGGATATATCATTTGAGTTATGCTTTGATGTAGGAAATTTTACTTAGTTACAACTTGAATGCCCCAAACAGTTTTGGTTATGATTTTCATTTAGAAAGATCACTTCAACACAATAACCATATATATCAAATCTGCAGCTAGGTTCTTTAAGGAAGAATTTTAGGAAGGACAACCATTTGAAGTATGATAGCAAAGGAGCTGAGCAGATGCAGAAGAATACTGCAAGAAGCAAGAACCAATTGTGCTAAGATACTTACATAAACAAACTGGTATATCTAGGAACAACTTGCCACTGGCAGCATATCAAATACTGTTGGAAATGTGTAGACAATGGGATGCTGGACTGACTTTCTGGACCAGCAATGTCAGGGCACACTTAAATAACAGACTGATGAAATCATGACTCCCTATCAAGAACTATACTACTGCAGCAATGCAGGGAAAATCAGAGGGTGTGGGGGGAAATCCCAGTCTCTGTTCCATAAAATTCAAAAATTCAAAAGAAAAAGAAAAAAAACATCACCCCTCCCCAAAAGTAATATCAAATAGAAGGGTTGCTTTCTGTTTCTGTTCCTAAATCCTCTGCCTATTATTAACCCCATTGGTCAAGTACAAAGTTTCCTAATTTGTGAAGAAAACATTTGGTCAGTTGGGAGAGGAGAGTCGGTGAACTTCCATGAAACACTGTCCTCAGAAACATTTTGGTTTTCTTTGAAATCACAGCCCTTACTTCCTCCAAACACTAGTTCTCAAACTGTCTCCTGCTTTGTCTCTCTCTAATACATCACTGCTTTTATAACTCACACATCCATATTTCCTTTAAGGAACAAAATTGCTTTGCTTGACCTATTTATCCCTTCCACTCTCCTAGAAATCATTCTACATTGCTGCTATTTTTTGCTAGCACTTTCTATTTCATAGAACTAATAAATATATTAAAAGTAAAAATTTTATTGTCAGATCCTCAAATTACTCTATGATAAAGATGTTATTCTATCTCCAAGTATTTGAATATCTTCTGGGGTATTTTGACTTGTAGGTTCCCAGTTTCACTCCATGATGGTCTGCAAAGATGCACGCTATGATTTTCATGTTTTTAAATTTGCTGAGGCTTGTTTTGTTGCCTGTAACATGATCGATCCTGGAGAAGCTCCCATGTACTGATGAAAAAAAAAAGTGTATTCTCTGTAGGATGAAAAGTTCTGAAAATATCAATTAAGTCCATTTGCTCTGGTGTTCAGATTACTCTGTTTCCTTGCTGAGTTTCTGTCTTATAAATCTGTTCATTGAGGTTAGTAGGGTGTAAAGCTCCCCTACTATTATTATGTTAGAGTCTATTTCTCCCTTTATATCCACTAATGCTTGTTTCACATAGCTAGGTGCCCTGGCGTTTGGTGAATACACATTTATTATGATGATTTCTTGTGGCTGAATGGATCCCTTGATCGTTATGTGGTGTCCTTCTTCATCTCTTTTAATGTGTTTCCACGTCAAAGTCAATATTATCTGGTGTCAGAATGGCTACCCAGCTTGTTTTTCCTTTCCCTTAGCCTGCAATATCCTTTTCTTTCACTTTCCTTTCAGTTTCAATATCCACATATCTTTGTTGGTGAAAGGTGTCTCTAATAGGCATACAAAAAATTGCTCAGACTCCCTAGCAGTCAAGAAAATGTAAATAAAAACCACATTTTAGTTCCACCTAGCTCCAGTGAGATTGGCATACATTCTACTACATTCTACTAACAACCCCTACTGGTATAAATGTGGGGAGAATGGTACCCTACTCCATTGTTGATGGGAATGTAGACTCATGCAGCCATTATGGAAGTCAGTATGGAGAGTGCTAAGACAACTGAAAATTGATTTACCATATGACTCCCAGCTATTCCAGTCCTGGGAGTATAACCAAAGGAAATGAAATTTGCATATGAGAAAGTGGCCTGCAATACTTTGTTTACAGTAACACAATCTATAAGAGCAAAGGTAAGGAAACAACTCAGTTGCCCATCCAAGCAAGAATGGATAAAGAAACTGTGGTAAATCTACTGTATGATATACTACTCAGCCATTAAAATATAAAATATAAAATATCCTTCAAATTGCCTATTTATATTTTGCATGAAGGCTGCCAAATGTCAGAGAAAATATGGTATTTGTCCTTTTTGGATTAGCTTATGTCACAGAGCATAATGGTTGGGATCATTTTATAGCAAGTGATAGAATTTTACTCTAAGTAAACATGTGTATACATACATTCACATAGAGGAACTGTAGAATGAAGACTAGTATACTGGGAAGTGAAGACACATTGCAATATACATCTCCACTCCTGAATAAAAGGAGGACTCCCAATGAAGCTGTTAAATACATCTTGCTGAAAGGATCTGGACTTTCTACTATTGTCTATACCTATAATGTCATGATAGGTTTAAATAACAGAGTTTTGGATTTGTGACTATTGCTGAAGGACTATATTATTATAACATAATTGAAACAAGTGAGATGGGGAATAGGGGAGGCGGATGGAGGAAACCAACACTGCCTAAGGAACTGTATCATGAAAAATAACATAAATAAAATGTTTTTGAAATTTGTTTAAAAAGATACTAATAGGCAAATATTTCCTGCTTGAACACACCCATTAACTCCTAATAGTTAAAGAAAAGTCTCTGCTTCCATTAAATTCAAAGTCTTCTTAGAGTGTAGTACGCATACTTGAACATTATTCTTCTATTTAGGTCCAATCAACACAGATGAGGAGTCCTTCACACTGAAATAATCTATAATCACCTATTTTTAGTGATAACATAGTGAGTTGATATGCATCAGCTAAAAAATACTTTATCCTTAACATCTGTGTTTCTCCTTGTTTTTCTTTTATGCACGTGAGGATCTCCGTTTGATATTTTAGGCAAATATAGACTCTTTTGCATTTATCCTTCAATTGATTTTTCTAATTCCAATAATTCAATAAACAAAAG